CTTAACTTGAGCCAAGACTATGTTTTTTAAGTTACGAATTGACTCGAGTCCAGTCTCTAGTTCCCATGGGTGTCTTGGAAATAAAACGCTATAGATATGTAGATTTAGAAACTAACACTTTACTTAGAATAAACAACACTCTCTACGTATGTTAATCGAATACTTTTCTTTTTTTTTTTTTTTTACTTTGCTAAAGTTAATTAACTGAAGACTCCTACGATCTAAATTGAAATGCTTCTACTTTTCCTCAAAGCAGAGGCAGTGATTTGATGTGGTTAACCAAATCGCATAATTTACATCATTAATAAGAAAATTGTCAGCCTGTGTAGAGATGGGCTAAACAAAATTTTCATTTTAGCATGCACATTCGCACGCATGTTTGGCCAATGTTATGACTTAATTTCTTAATGCTGGTCAGAATTAATTGCATGTTTTGCATCACTAGGCCTGTATATTTGACTATTATAAAAACCGATTAATAATAGAGCCGAACAAGCTGATAATATAGTAGTATGTTAAAGTATGAAATAAATTAATTTTTGGTAGTATGTTAAAGTGCGAAATAAATTAAATATTAAAAAAAATAAATTAAATATTAAAAAATACGAGCAATTAAATAAAGTGTGAAAAAAATGGTACGTATTAAAACCTAAAATAAATATATTCGTCTTTAAGAAAAAATTTATTATTTTTTGATATTGGCCCAAAAAGAATTACATTGAGTAGAGTGCTTGAATTTAAAAATTAAAGAAAATTTTATTAAGTTGTTTTTAAATTTATAATAAAGTCGTAGAATAGATTTTTTTGATTCTAACAGTAGTAAAATCATTAATATTGGGTAGATATTCACTGAGAAATATGTATTTAAAAATTGAGTGTTGATTTTTTGTCTACAATGATTATTATATGATATAGCCAATAAAAATTACAAACTTTATAATATATACAAGTAAGCTTTTTAAAATAATTTGTTTATTAAATTTTATACTATTAGAAAGTACATGTTTTAATTTACAAATTAAAAATTTTTATTAATAGTGTCTTGGTTTAATTTTCACATGTCAAAGCCGGTTTAATCGGTTTAATACGTGAAAATAAAACAGTTCCAAACACTAGGTACTGTATTGTGGGTTGAAAGAAGGTTACTAAATTCTCAGAATTCCCCATGTATGATGTAAATTACTTTTGTTGTGCGTTAAAAGGTTACTGAATTTTCAAAATTCCCCGTGTATGATGTAAAGTTACTTTTTTTTTACTTTGTAGTAATAAATACCTGGTATATGTTACTGTAAATATCGATATATTGCATGAATTTTTAACATAATCACCAGAACAAAATATTTATCATCATTTGATCGATAACTTGTCATTATAAATTGAAAAAATTAGTTTTATACCAGTTATACCAGTTATAGTATATATCAATACAGTATTGATAATTAACACCATTATTTATAATTTATACGCCGATATGTCTGTATATATTGACAATTAGCTCATCGATACGTAGCGATAGTTATTTATTACGTACATAGTGTTATCGATGTCGCCGATTTGGTTACATTTGCTACATGTTAAATGTCCATATTGCCTATTGTATCTCATTTGGCTAAACTAAAAAAAAATGCAGATATCTTAGATCTTTCTTTACGTGAGTGTCTGCATAATCAAGTAAAGGACTTTTAATAAAATTATATTTTTTTGATACGTATAATCGTGATTTCGTTTATTTATTACTTATTTTATTTTTTTTAAAAAAAAACCCCACTAAACTAATTTTAAGCTTTTTTATTTATATGTATTAACAGCAGAATTAGCCATTGACCAGGTAGGATATTATCAGATACAGAATATATAACATTTACCCGAATGTTTAATACCTGGGTGGTGGTTTTTTGTATAATCTCTAGTTCGCATACTTGTTTACCATTTAGTTTGGATGGTGACTCAGATATACGTACGTACCTATCAAAGCTACGCGTTGACTTAAAATTAACAAGCCAGTTCAATTGAACTCCATTTGGAAATACTAGTATTTGAGATTGCTCATTTTCTTTATTCGATAGAATTATAATGTATTACACAATAACCTACCAATCGGACAATTTAAGGATAGTTGTAAATCTTCACATGTAATTTTTAACGTTGGTGATGTAACTATTATCAAGGTCCATCTTAGATCCTTAAATGATTGCGGTGAAGATTTGGAATTTGATTGGCAGAATTTTTCCATATAAGACGTTTAATTCCACTTTTCTTGAAATTCCCGGCTTTTAAAGTCTTATCAATTATTCTTGAATTTTTGATTTTATAAGTCCTCTTCAAACGTTTCCGTAATGTCAACTCCCGATTCCAGTTCCAGGATAAGATATCATAAGCGTACCCCTACCGGCTTAACGAAGAGTGAACAAGCAAGTTGGGATCCAAAAATTTTATCTTTATGGGAAAAGTGTGCTGTCGATGAAAACAGTGGTTGGTATTTGATCTAAAGAAATAAGCTTGCATTGCTTTAGGCTTTTATGTCGTGTCCTTATGAATTGTAATTTTATTTACATTATCGTAGACAAAGAAAACTTTCAAAAAACTTTCGTTCGTCACGTGACCACAACGCTAGCCAGATCCGCCTATAATATCGATAACTTTAGTGCATATCAAGCTACCGCTCACACGTAAGCCATTTAAATAAAGAAATAATATAATCCTTTAAGTCGTCCTTATTAGAGATCTTGTTAATCAATTAATATATGCATATGCTTAATACGTATATAGTGTTCGTGATCGATTAATCAAACGATGGAATGATACCCAGCAGGTCTGTTCTGAGTTTTTCTTTAGCCTAAATTTTTTCGAAATTAACAAAGTTATGTGTTTTTAGAATCACACCGAAGCTGACCCAAAGCGCGTTTATTATCTGTCTTTGGAATTCTTATTGGGTAGATCACTGGATAATGCCCTTCTCAATTTGGGGTTAAAGGAAAATTTTGGAGGTATTTACTAATTTGAACCCATTATTTAAATTTATTATACCGTTTTTTTTTTTTTTATTAATATACGCATTACCTTCAAATTTTGTACTTAACTTACTTTTCCTTCGTAGAGGGTGTCAAGGATTTGGGCTTCAGAATGGAGGATGTACTTGATGAAGAAGTTGATGCTGCTCTTGGTAACGGAGGTCTCGGTCGTCTTGCCGCTTGTTATATGGATTCTTTAGCTACATTAGATTATCCAGCTTGGGGATACGGCCTTAGATATACTTATGGTATCTTCCAACAAAGGTATTGGACTTTTATTTCTCACTACAAAATCATTACATTCATTTATTCTAAATTTACGTCTAACTGTCAGATTAAAGGATGGTTATCAAGTAGAGTTCCCTGATTATTGGCTAAATTTCGATAATCCTTGGGAGCTAGCACGCCTTGATGTCGTTGTTGATATTCAATTCGGCGGATCAGTCAATGAATATACTGATGAAAAGGGTCGAACCCGATATCTTTGGGAAAGCAATGATGTAGTAAAAGCTGTTGCTTATGACGTTCCTATTCCTGGTCAGTTTTCTATTTATTTTTTTTTACAATTTTATATTGAAATTCCTGCCTCTTATTATAATTTATTACAATATCATATAGGATACGGTACCAAAAACTGCATTAATATCCGCTTATGGAATAGTAAACCAAAACGTCAGTTTGATCTTGGCCGATTTAACGAAGGTCAATATGAACAGGCTGTTCAAGAACAAATGCAAGCAGAAAATATCACTGCTGTTTTATACCCAAATGATAATCATATGGTTGGTAAAGAATTGCGTCTTAGGCAACAATACTTTTGGGTCGCTGCTAGTCTACACGATATGTACGTATTCGATAATTATTATATGAAACTTCATCGTGTTATATTAATTTGACATCATTTTAAACGCAAAAGTGTTCGTCGATTCAAAAAATCTGAAAAACCATGGAGTAAATTTCCCGATCAGGTAATATTAAAAGCATAAGAATCACATTTATTTATAACTTTTTAATATGTTTTTTGTTATTTATTTCTATGTTTTTATTTCTAATTAATTATTTTATTTGATTTCATTTCTGATATAATATTTACTTATTTGTTTATTGATAGGTTGCTATCCAATTGAATGGTATGCTAAAATTAATATTTTGTTTCATTTAGTTAAGCATCCCTCAGGCATAACCATTATTTTATATATATTTTATAGATACACATCCAACTCTTGCTATTGTCGAATTACAAAGGATTTTAGTTGATCTCGAGGTAAATTTATCACCCTCATTTTATTTAAGTATGATTTAAAACCTAATCTTTTAAAAACTTATAGGGTGTTAGCTGGGATGACGCTTGGGATATCGTTACCCGTACGTTTGCGTTCACAAATCACACTATCCTTCCCGAAGCCATGGAAAAATGGCCTGTACCAATGGTCTCTTATTTATTACCAAGACATATGCAAATTATTTTCGATATCAATCTGGTGTGCCGAGTTTAATAACTTTCCTGTGTGTGATGACCATCACTTCAATAAACTTACACTATATGATTATTTTATAGTTCTTCTTGCAAAAGGTTGAAAAAGCTTATCCTGATGATAGGGATCTTCTAGCCAAATTATCTATAATTGAAGAATCGACTCCACAATTCGTAAGGTTGGTATTTAGTCTATTTGAAATTGGTTAATTAAAGAATTATGAATTAATTGATCGATTAATCTTCCTACTCAGAATGGCGTATCTTGCCATAGTCGGTATGTTCTGATTAATCATTTTTGGTTTAGTAATGATAATACTCAATTATTACTGTAATATGCAATTTCTAAAATACTCTATAGGTTCACATCAAGTTAATGGTGTTGCTGAATTGCACTCAAACTTGATTAAAACAACTGTAAATAATAATTACTATTTAAATTTTTTTACTGTTAAAGATCTTTCTTTATTAATTCGTGTTTTTTTTTTTTCCTGCTGAAATTGTATTCCACCATTATATAACAGATTTTCAAAGATTTCGCTAAATTTTTTGGCTCTGAAAAGTTTATTAATGTAACCAACGGCATTACTCCTCGAAGGTACTTTAGATATGAATTCTTATTTATTATCAATCATTCCCTTACCTTCTCGTATTTCCCAGATGGTTGCATCAAGCCAACCCAAAACTTGGTGATTTGATTACAGAAGTCCTCGGCAGCAAGGATTGGCTAAAAGTATTTATCTAATACCTATATGTCAATATAGAATATACAATTTACTTATGCTTTTTTGGTTTTTTTTTGTAATAGGATTTAAGTTTGTTGAAAAAGCTTGAACCGTTTGCTGATGACAAAGAATTCAAAAAACGATGGGTTGCCGTTAAACGTTCTAACAAGGTTTATAAATTATTGTGTTCAAACTATCTCATAACACTGATTCATATGGCATTTTATTAATTCCTTTTTTTTTCTGTTTCAGGTTCGATTAGCCGAATACATCAAGGCGCATACCGGAATTATAATTGATCCTAATGCCTTATTTGATATTCAAGTGAAGAGAATTCATGAATACAAAAGACAATTTATGAATATCTTAAGGTTTGTTTAATTTTGTTAATGTTAAAATCTTCGTATAAAGATTATAGCTTTTATTGCAAAAGGTTAATAATAGATCATTTTTAGTGTTATTCATCGGTATAATTTATTGAAGAAAATGTCTTCAAAAGAAAGATCAGAAGTTGTTAGACGCGCTGTCATATTTGGTGGAAAAGCAGCACCAGGTGAATTCGTTAACCCAATTAAATTCTAAAAAAAAAGATATTTTCTAATGCATATTCTTTTTTTGCAGGTTATTATATTGCAAAGTTGGTCATAAAACTGATAAATAGCGTTGCGGATGTCGTTAACAAGGATGAGTCTATCGAAGATGCTTTAAAGGTTGATAAATATTTATTATTTTTATTGCAAATAATCTATATCATGACATTAAATAACATTAATCTTCCCACATCAATTAGGTTGTTTTTATTCCTGATTATAATGTATCTGTTGCTGAAATTATAATTCCAGCATCAGACATTTCACAACATATTTCAACAGCTGGTACTGAAGCTTCTGGTACTAGTAATATGAAATTCGTCTTAAATGGCGGCTTAATTCTCGGAACTGTTGATGGTGCAAATATTGAAATTCATGAAGAAATCGGTGATGATAATATCTTCATGTTCGGAAATTTGGCAGATCAAGTCGAAGATTTGAGGCACGCTCATAGGTAATTATCATTGTGTATTATACTTTACGAATTTGACATTGTTTCGTGTGTACTAATCGTATATATATAATAGATATCGCGATGTACCAATTGATCCCGCACTACAAGAAGTTATTAATGATATCGAAGCTGGTCATTATGGCGATCCACACATATTTTCTCCTCTAATTCACACTATAACTATCGGCAAAGATTACTACTTACTCTCAGATGATTTCGGTTCGTATCTTAGTGCACAAAACTTAGTTGATGAAGCATATAAAGATCAAGAAGATTGGGTGAGAAAGAGTATTCTATGCACTGCCCGAATGGGTAAATTCTCATCGTACGTATAATCAAAATAATCGCACGCATTATATTTTGATAGTTTACTTTTTATTCGTTAACCATATTTACTTTTAAATTTAACTTTATTAGTGATCGTGCCATTGCAGAATATGCAAACAGAATTTGGAACGCCAAGTCTTGCCCCGTGTAAGATAAAAAATTTCATGGATTCAGAACTATTATTTAAAATCTCATCACACAACACACCCCTATGATCGTTTCGTACCATATTAATTTTAAAACTTTGATTTAAATTAATAGTTTTCTACATTAAAAACTGTATGATTTAAATTAATAGTTTTTCTACATATGGATATATATAATAAAATGCTATTTGCTAATGAATATTTATTTAAAACAATTCAAAAACAATTCAGATGATTATATTAAATAAAGAATGTCACTGATTTATGTACATTTGTTGTGAGTGCGCTATCTGTTGATGTCGGACTTATTTACTTTGCTAGTTATGGCTTAAAAATCACTTTTACGTAAATTTTTGAGATCGTAAATAATTTTATTCACAATTTTCCTGCTTCACGTTTAGCACTCTTTCATTTTTTAATTTCGCATTTATAATTTGAATTTATTCCAATTCTGTGATTTTCCCATAAGTCTGGCATTATCTTGCTTTAGCAGATTGCATAGTAATTTTTTTTTTTTAATACAAGCACAACATAAAACATCATGTTCGGAACGGCGATCACTTTCGTCGGGAATAGAATCCCAAAACAAAAAGTAAATACAATTGTGTATTTGAAATCGAGCCATAAAAAGGTTAATGCTTAAATGGCCCGTGTATCACACTTTGGTGGATTCGGTATTAAGACAAAGATAAAAACTGCTCGATACGTAAGTATCGGGGCAGTTTTTGTCTCGAATAGGATCAGGCATGTGACATGCCCGATCACATTCACATTGCTTGATTGATTAAATACGGAGTAAGTAGGAGGTAATGGGAAATTTAGTTTATAGTTAGGTAGATATGAGATAATTTGTTTTAGTATATATTGGTGTCGATAAAGTATGTGGGAAAATAACTTTGTTTCTTCTGCGAACCCGAATTTCATTCTGGTTATATCGACCCTTCCCCCCTGCCCCTAATGATAATTGAGCTTTACTATGACGTGTCGGACGACAGTCATACAGGGGTAGGACCGAGGCATCTGTCGAGACAACAGCCATAATGAATAGCATAGTTTGCTTTGCATGATCTGTTGGGACGACAGTCATGATATATATATGTATATATAAAAGGAAAGAAAAGAAATGTAACGATGCTAAAAACTGCATGAGTTGCTCGATGAGCAGGAGAAAATCCCGTATGTGTTTTCATAGTAAGTAACCTCCAGATATGAGAGACAAAACAAAAAGTAAGAAAGTGTATATAACAAAACTAAAATTATTGAAATCAAGGAGAGATTCTCCATGAAATTAGAGACCTTAAATCTATCCCCAATCTGGATAAAGGCACAACTACCACAATATCATCAACTGCACAAACACCATCATCCATTCTATTAAGTAGAAAGAATGAAAAATCGGTTAAAAGAAATAGAGGAGAAATTAGAGAATAACTTTGACTTTACAAACAAAAAAACCTTTAAAGAAGTAATTTTTAAGTTTAAATTTATTTTTTTAACAATATTATAAATTATTTAAAGTTAATTTAATATTTTTTAATAAAATTTATTAATAGGAAACTATTAAAGGGGCAACTAAAGAATTAATCGCATATGCGATTTATCTAAGGAAGAACAGCTAAAGTCAACAGTGGAAAGGTATGTTTAGGCTAATTATAAATATTATTCTTCACACACCATGACTTTGAGTTAGTGTTCTGTTTAGTTTATCAAGTTGGCAACTAATCGATTGGTTGTTTTTGTATAGCTGAAGCTAAGAAAAATGTAAATATACTGAAAATGCCACATAGACCCAAAACAGAAAAAGGATCGACTTACAAGAATACATAAACTGAGACATAGGTATTTTGTTTAAAACATTTTGATTTACAAATAGCAAAATATTTGTGGATTATTTAGTAATATGTTTATTTTTTGATACTTAAATCTAATATGAACTTTATAACCTGAAATGGCGAAGGAATTGATAAAAGCTCTTCCAAAAAACACCGCATTAACTTTTTTGGACCCCAATAATAATAACTTGGGTGGTGAAGGTATGACCTTTTAGAGTACGTTGATGTTCATAATACTACCCTAAAATTTTTTAGATACGATTATATTACAATTAGAAAATAATTAATAAAAGTATTTTATTTTAAAAAATTGCTATTTACAAGAAATACATTATAATTGTTGCGGCTATTGCTAAAATTAACTAATGCTAAAATAAGTTTGAGAATTTGTTTGAAATTTCTTATATTCTGAAAATTTTTGAGTACCATACATATATACTAGTGTTACAAATCGAAAGTTGAAAAAATCGATAATTTGGTTAGTTAACAACTAATCTATTGAACTTTTTAGATACCAACTAATTGACTAATCGATTAGTTGGAACTAATCGATTAAAGAATTATGATAATGCTGATTGATCGAAAATCAATTGATTCTTTAATTAATTAGTTGTAACTATATTGACCCAAGTAGCGGCTCTAATAAGAGTCGCTATATCAACTTTGTGTTAACTAAAATTTTTGTGATTTTTTATATAACCCGTTAACCCAGAGTTACAATTCGGTATATCTAAATCAAATGACGCAATAATGCTGGCCGAACTTTCGTAATGCTGGTATTTTATATGAAAATTTCAATATAAACCAACACAATCTTAGCTATTGTGCGTATCGTATTAGCAAGTTCTGTAACAGATTTTTTACAGTAAATCATAATAGAAATGATATTTCTATGTAAACAAACTACCAACTTGATTAAATGGTTGTTGAGATATCTTCGCTAAAAGGTTTGACTGAGATCTGCACGAGTATCAAAAATAAATGTTTTGCTTCCCAGTATCACACCAGAAAGTCGTTATCACGTGATAGCGATACGATTCATAAAAAGTTCGTTAAGGTTAGGGTTAGCATTTATATTAAGGCCAGAAATTAGTGAAATATATGGTAAAATCGCCAAGGAAAACTTTTTGTTAGATTACATTTTTATCAAAAAAATTTTTTTTATGAAAAATTTTTTGATACAAACCCAAGTTATTCCAATTACACATATACCGATATATTACAATTTAATTCAATTTAATTTTAAATTATCAATCTTATGTGATTGATATATCGATATATACTAATTTAATGATTTGAACCGAGAAAAATTTCTTTAATCGGTTAACCGAACCGAATTATTTTATTCAGCCGGTTGTCAATCGGTTGAGATTAACTATCTCTACTTTTCGTTTTATCTTCGGAAATTCTCGTCTTTTATGTTCATTTTCTTTTCGGAACCTTTGCTCCCTCCTTATATCATTTTCATAATATACCCAATTCTCAACCGGATGTACCAGGTCAACCGATTAAGAATTTCCTCAATCGGTTAACCGAAATTTGTTCGGTTTTGGATAGATTAACCGATTATAGGCCAACCGATTCAAATCACTACGCATACATAATCATATTTACTTTTGCATGTATATTTCGGGAATTATTTTATTGCGTTGTAATCGACATATATTAGGGTCAGTAAAAGATTCCAATCTATATTATAAACAGGGTAGTTAGCGCAAGGTAGGTAGGTGTCGCCAATGGTGTTTTAAAATAGGGAGCACCATGGCATGTCAATTTAAATATGGCGCGAAGATGGCGAGTCAATCTCAAGAAAATTTAGTTCCAATACATTTTCTCAAAAATATGTAATTTCCTGGCTTCAATAAAAAAGGTCTAGAGTTTGTCATGGGTGCACAGTAGATCAGATAATCGTGTGAAGTTATGGTTATCGCCAGTGTTAGAAATAATCGGTTGGCCTGTAATCGGTTAATCTATTCGAACCGAACAAATTTCGATTAACAGTTTGAGGAAATTCTTAATCGGTTGATCCGGTATATCCGGTTGAGAATTGGGTAATCGGTTGGCAGGGTCAATATCAGGGACCCGTAAAATTTTAGTTTTAAAAACTCAAAAATTTTTTCGATAACAACAAATTTAGTTTAAATTTAATAAATTTTAGATAAATTTTGATTTAAATTAATAAATTTTAGATAAATTTTGATTTAAATTTTATAAGTTCATCTTTTATTTTGTTAAAATACTTAATTTAAATTTTGCCGATTGTTTTGAAGAATATTATTAAATATACTGTAAAAGTAGGAATCAAATAACACTAGTGATGCCTGACGAAACATGTGATGCTAATTGTCACATAATACAATGTATAAAATCAACAATCTATTTTGATTTTTTATAAGTAATAGCACGTGATAATTAGCATAACATGGGCATCATTAAATAACACTAAGTCGCATAAATTTATGTCTCTAGATCATGGCATCAATATCCAATACAGACTAGTCATATACTGTATGTCTTAGAAGTTAAATAAGTTAAGTTTGTATAAAATTTTTATTATCACTAGTGATAAGCAAATCAAATATTTTTGAATCTACTGCTAATGCAGGCAAGAATTGTGAATTCTGAAATATTCCACCTCATCATAAACTATATAATATAATAAGGAAATTTTAGTTAAAATTGATAATTTTAGAAATAAATTCCCTATAATTTAAAATTTTAGAAAGTTTGAGTTGATACTTGAAATTTTAGATTTTTTGTGAAAATTTTATATCTAAAATTTTACGGGTCCCTGTCAATATATGGGTAGAGTGCTACAGAAAAGAGGAAAATCGACAAATTTTCAACTTTATTTTTTTTACACAAACTAATTTATAATAAGATTAGGATCATTTTCACTTAAACACAAAAACAGTTGCATTAGTAAAATTTCGATAATATAGCTCTTTAAAGTTCATATTTTCTTATGATTTATTATAAAATTTATAACATAAAAATTGATCTTTTGTTTTGTTGATTTTCCCCTTTCTGTAGCACTTAGCCCATATTATGAAAATAATATAAGGAGGGAGCAAAGTTCTGAAACGTTCCGAAAAGGAAATGAATCAACATAAAAGAGAGAATTTCCGAAGATAAAATGAAAAGTAGAGATAGTTAATCTCAACTGATTGACAACCGGTTGAAAAAATAATTTGGTTCGGTTAACCGATTAAAGAAATTTTTCTTACTAGTTAGCAATTTGTTTTGAGATTTATGTTCTCATGAGGACATATTTATTTAGTGTTCTCGGAAATTTATTTATGTTCTCAACATCTCATCAGTAAAATTTATTCATATTATTCATATCCCATTTTTTGAATATCTTATTTCGGAAAATATCGGGGCATTTATTCTAATTTTTGTCCAACCCTTCTCGCCTTTTTATTCATTCATTTTCTTTTCGGGTAATTTCAGAATTTCTTTCAATTCTAATTTTATTTCCAACTGACATAGAGAACATATTTTTCGAGTATTTTGATCAAATTTTTTCCATAGAGAATATTTACACAATATTAAATATTCTCAAATCTAAAGGTATGTTTTCATGAGAACATGAGAACATAAGATTTCCAACACTGGTTATCGCACGTCTACTACTGGGAATTTCGTAATGGTAGTCGGGATCGTTTTTTTTTTTAGTACTAAAATCTTTATAATTAAAATATTATATTAATGATGCATGCCATGCGCCAAGATATATTAATGACACATCATTAAAAATATTTGCACCAACAACCCTAATTATAAAGCACCAATTTTTGGTGCTTAACATAATCAATTCTGTTTGGCTAATTTTGGATGAATAATTCTGATTGGTTAATTAAATTAATGCACCTGATTGGTTAGGGTTAGGGTGATTAGCCAATAGGGACTTTAGATTTCATGATCATCCGAATTTCACGATCATCTGCCAATTATTATAAACTTTACCTTCTTTTATACTGTATATACAGTATCTGATATAATTTCTTAAATAAAAAAAAAATAAGAAAAAATTCTCTGACCGAAATGTAGTTAGCTGAAAATCTATCATTTTGTCTGATTTAACTCGTTTTAAAAAAGGTATAACAATTTAAAATAAAGAATGGCGTGTTTTACTTCTAGTACCATCACACCCAGTATTATTTAATTATGAATAAAATAAATATGAATAATTTATTCATTATTACATATACAGTATATATATAACTTAGATTCACTACAGTATGACAATTATATGAGAAATATTAAACTTTACGGTCTATTCTAAATTAATGAACTCAAAATTTTATACATCACATTAATTCTGCTAGGGGGCTCTTAAAAGAACAATAGTTTTTTATAATAAGTCTTTTCTATTACAGAACTATCAGTTCTTTATAACAGATAAGGAGTACTTGGTCTAAAATGCAGTATACAGTATATACAGTAGCATATTAATATAAAAACATCTTCATAAATTCTGGGACAACGTTTGAACGTTGGTAGCTTATTGACTCTGACTTGGTAACATCTATTTGGTCATCAGGATTTATGAAAACAGCTGTAAGTCATCTTGTTATAAAATTCGTTATGCAGTAATTAAGGGTAATATTGTGAAAGGCGAAAATATATTTCGGTTTCGTATCGGCTTCGGATCTTGATGGCCCGGTTCCGGGTTTAAGTCTAGACCCGAACCGATTTTTCAGTTCGAGCCCGGTTTTGCACAAAGCCCGGACCGTAATTAAAACTTTAGAGATTACGACTTTAAGAAGTCTCCGTAACGAACCATGGATATGATAAACTATAAACAATATTGCTTCGGTATATATGCAGAAAGCTTAACAAAAACTGCTACAGCTGTATAAGTTTATAAATGTAATTTGATTGGCTGATATCACATATTTTTATAAGTAACCAATCATAAAGTTCATTGATCAACAATCTGGTTAACATCTTTTAAACTTTTTTTATCATTAATGTTTCGTTTTGAATTTTCGGTAAGGCAAATGTTTTAAGTTTTTTTTTCATAAAATTAACTGTGAAAAAAGTTTTAAATTTTATATTATATATATTTTTTTGATGGATGATTCAGCGTATACAATACACATAACATGTATAACATATATTAAAATGCTTTTGAAATTTATAGTCAACTGATCTCGATTTATCTGAGGAAATAGTGCCATGTGTTGAGGCTCATGTGCAGAAGAATAACGTTAGTCAACTCACACATTTTAATGATAATGATTTGACTTTGGACGAAAATTCGTATATTTCAGCAAGTGAATTAGTCATTACAAGTCTGGTGGGGTTTCTTTCTCTATAATACTGTATATAGAGGTTCGAATTATTTTATTTAATAGATTAATCGATTAATCATTTAATTAATTATATTATAATTTGTATTATTTAATATATAGGATCTTTACTAACAAAATGACCTTTTGGGACTGTGTAATTCATAGTCTCGATGAGACATTTTGTTAACAAAGATCAAAATATTATTTAAGTCGATCGATTAATCTATTAATCGATCCTAACCTCTATTATAATAAACATTAATTGCAACGCATTAGTTAATAGAGGTATAAACCTGTTAGCCCTTTGTGCTTCCATCAAGATTAGCGATTGAACATGTTTTTAAAACCATAATGGATGATAAAGAACCTATTGTTCTTTATAGACGATGTCTTTCTGATGTGAAATTTCAAATAGCACAAAATGATGAATTAGAAGATGAAGTTAATAAGAATTCACATAGTTCAGCAAAAATTCTAGAATTGACCGTTGATAATGATGTGATACATGGAATTTATGAAGGTGATTAATTATAAATTTAATTTGATCTGAATAAAATAATATTAAACTCTATGATCTTTATAGGCGGATTAAAAACATGGGAGTGCTCATTAGATCTAGTTGAATACCTTTCAATCAAATCAAAAGAAATTAATTTCAGTGGTAAAAAAATACTAGAGGTATATCCTATACGTATATGTTATTATCCACGAAGTAGGCAATAACTGATTTATTCCCCGGTTCTTATTATATTTCTATACTCTTTATTCGAGTTAAAGTTACTATTTCATAAAGTTTAACTTACTACAATCACAAGGTTTTTTTTTCATTTTCATTCTTTTTTCTTTGGTCAACATTTTAAAAAAAATTCATTATATCACTAAAAAAAAAAAAAAAATAGAAAATAAAAAAAGATATATGATACAGTCTACCCTCGTTTATTAAATTCATGTTGATAGTGATATTAACAAGAATTATATTAAAGTTGATATATATGAGAATTTTTAATATATAAAAAAATTTGTAAAAATTCATATTATTGCTTAGGTTGATATTAACGGGGATAGACTGTATAATCAAAAAAAATATGAAGATTCCGGATCAGCTCCAGTCTGAGATTTGAGCAATAGTGAGAAAAAAATAGTATACAAGTATAAATAAGAATCGGGGAATGAATGAAATTATTTCTCAGCACTTCTTAATATATTTAAATTGATTTTATTTAAAAGTTGGGATGTGGCTCAGCACTTCCGGGAATATATTTACTTTCTACTCAGCATTCTATTTGCGTTGATTTCCAAGATTATAATGAACATGTTTTAAAATTAGTCACAATGCCGAATGTACTTATCAATACAGTACTACGACCACAATCAGATGACATTTACGAAATAGATATTGTAGAAGAAATCAATTGTTTGAATCAATTAAAAAATAGCCGATTTTTTAAGGGAGATTGGAATGGATTAACTGTAAATAAATTATAATTAAAAATTTAATGTAATTGATCACATCTAAATATTTATTTATCACTATAGAATTTATTGAATTTACATTCAAATCAAGAAAAGTATGATATAATACTTTCATCAGAGACAATTTACAACCTTAACTCTATTCCAAAACTTTATAATGTTATTAAACATGCTCTGAAGTATCCGAATGGCGTCGCGTATCCTTTGTTATTTTTTTTTTGCACTGTATTAATTTTTTCAAGTTTAAAAGCATTGTAATTTATCCTGATCTTTTTTTTTTTAATATAGTTATATTGCTGCAAAAACTATTTATTTTGGTGTTGGTGGTGGGATCCTATCATTTTGTCAATTAATTGAGCAAGATCATATTTTTGAAGTTAATGTAGTCTATACAAAAGCTGCACATGTTAGAAGAGAAATTTTAAAGCTTTCATTTTTATAATATCCAAAAACTTTAACCATTGTCACGACTGAAACTGGAAATTTTAAATATTTTAATATGAAATTCCAAAAATTTTTGGGGAGCATTTTTTTTTTTAATAGTTAGGTTAGGGTTTAGGGTTTACTTTTATAATAAAAGAGTATAAGTGGATTTTGGTAGGGTTTATATTTTTAAACCGAGATCCATAATTTCCAGCTTCAGCCGCGACAATCAAGCTAACTAGAGTTTTTTGATTTGTACCCCGGGTACTGAATACACAATGCTCTACGATAATAAAAAGAGGTTTTTATGTAATATGCTTTTGGAAAGATAATTATTTAAGGACATAACTGATATTGATAAGCATATTTATTTTAAAACCAATTATTACTTTAAATACAGTGTGGGAATGGTGCAAAGATCATTTGATTCTGATCACTGGACTAGATCACTGAACTACGAGATATCATCGATCACGTGCTGTACAAAAAAATTCTGACGAAATACATAAGGTAAGTAAATGCCTTTTTGATACTATGCCAAGCAAAGTTGTTCACGACATTAATTACACATATCCTGCAATTTTGATTGGGCAACTAATTGCATTTACGTAACACGTTTCTATGAAAACTTTAATTTTTTTTTCGAAAAAAAATGTATTTCGTAAAAGTCAATTAGTAAAAAGTTGCTCAAATTTCATGAAAAATTCTATTATATGTGTAAATTGATGTCGCAAACAACTTTATTTAGAGCTCAAAGATCAGTTTACATAGTATTTAAAAATTCTTTCATTATGGTTAACTTTGTATTTCGTCAGAATTTAAATTTTTTTTTGTGCAATGTTATTTCGAACAGAAACGAATGGTCTTTGTACATCTCATCAAGATGAATCGAATGATTCTGACCGTCGGGAACACAGGATAACTCAATTCGTCATCCTACCCCTTAAAAGTTTATCTTTTTATGATACATATATGGACTTGTGCTGAGAAAAAGGACCAAATTAACGAAACTTTTTCACAAAATATCATTAATCTTGTGAACTATTAATTAGAATTATATGATTTTGATATCATTCAATTCGTCTCAGAAGAGAAATCGAATCTGTAATTCTGATTAATAGTTATGTATAAGAAAAATGGCTTTTTGGGAAGAAGTTTTTTTTGTCAATTTTCACCACTAACTAAGCCCATACGTATAAACCGATTAAAGTTTCAAATAAACAAATTTTTTTATATTGAAAATAAAAAAATTTTTATATTAATCATTTTACTTTATAATTTTGAAATCTAATTGTATATTCAGTATTTCTTATATAAGATTTTTTAATAAATTTCAAAAAAACAAAATTACTTGAAATCAAAAATTTTTAACATGTCATTGACGTTAATAAATTAATGTTCAGTTTAGTAAAATTAAAAAATATAATCGAAAATTCTATACGTACTATGCGCGACTGATATTGCAACTTATTTAGGATGAATAGACTATACGTATCAGATATTGATTGATTGTATTAACGTTAAATTATGAACGTATATTATTTTATATAACTGATAATTATAATTATAATTGTACGTACGTATATAAATTGATATATACATATTGTAATAATGACGAATAAAATAACCCTAATTATTATATTTATTATATATATAAATAAATATATAAATAATATATATATATTATATATATATTATGTATATATTATAATAAGTAGAGATCTTGATCAACCTATCATATACTTTGCAATGGATGAGCGTATCTTTAAAATCTCGATAGTTTGTAAATGTGGGGTTACGTCAAGAACGTTAACAGTTAATGTCTGAGATTTACTTTTGATTTTCAGAAAATTTGTTAGTCAGAATGAATCATTATTTATGATAATTTATTTATAAATGATCGTTATCTTAAATATGTAAAGATTTAAATCAGCTTAGTCTTTTTCGGTTTCATTCTAGTAAATCTATGTAGATTCGAAAAATTTAGAAATTCTTTTACGTAGGTAACGTATCTGGTACGTATGTACATCGATTCATTCGGCATCCAAAATTCATCGGCGACTTGTTTGATACTGCTTTGTAAACTGAAATAGTAATATTAATTAAGATCAAAAAAACCAAAAAGAATAATGTCACTCAATTAACAAATGAAATGAAGCAGCCTATCTGTGTATCTATAATTGTGCTACTAATCCCTATTCTTTCGTTATCAAAAATATCTCAGCCTGTTTGAAATGCATCTCTATGAAATAGTAAACATTTGCAAAATCTGGTTTTTCAATTAGGATTTTTTAATTTATCATTTATACTGAAATGCGAAATGCGGGGTTTTCTTTTGGGTAATGAATGGAGACATTGTGATAAACTGCTGTACATAAAAAGAAAGTTGGTGTATTTAATAGTATCTTAATATGTGTATTCCAATTGATTGTGTTAACGTATAAAGCTTCAATTATTTTCTAACCTGTAATCAAAGATAATACTCTAACTTTTTGATTATTGTCTTGAGAAGCAAAACGAATAATATTTTTTTACTTGCCTTTCTTTTTTATTCCCTTTAATAAAAAAATGCCTCTTCCAAACCAATTGTCTCCAGTCTTTTGGGCTGATAAAATTTTCACCTTGACATTGGAGTTAATTTTATTTGCTTTATTATGCTTGGTATCCTTCGTTGAAGGAAAGGGACTTAAAGTTCCAGATAAAACAACCGTAAAAAAACCATCTATCGATGAAAAACATGCTAAAAAGGACAAATCAAAGAAATTGAAAAAGGACAGAGCAATCCCAGAAGTTGTCAATGATTCTAGTCCAACTGTGACCCACATCTCTCCAGGGTCTAAAACCGCGAATATTATTACAGGTACTCTTTCAGAATTGAAACCGGACAGTGAAATGTCTGTTTCAAGTGTACGTGACGTTAAAGTAACTGAAAACGTTCTTAAAGACGACACCACTACCTTTGGTGAACTGAAGGAAAAGAAACCTTTAATTAAAACAAATGAGTTAAACATTATACCTATTGAAGTAAGTAAAAATACAACAGTATATTAATTATTCAAGAGAGTTGGATTTTTAATTGTATTATTTTGATATATAGTTCCATTGGCGACATGGCGGAAACAGTGTTTTCGTTACTGGTGATTTTGATAACTGGCAAGGTAAAGTATTTTAACGCGTCTAATAATGCATTACACTTGAGTTTTAATAATTTCATATACGTATTTATTATCTTTTTGTATTTATACAGCAACTGCTCATGAAATGCATTTTTCACCTGAAACAAATGACTTCGTTGCTGTTGTTGAGATTGACCGCACTAAACAGCATGAATTTAAATTTGTGGTTGATGGAAACTGGCGACATAATGATGATTTACAAACTCGTTATGATGAACGTAAGTTTTTATTGTTCATTTGATTTAAATCTATCCTAAATTCTGAAATATCTAATAATATTTTCTTTTATAGATGGTAACATAAATAATATCATCTACGCATTTCCAGCCGGTCCATTGAGCCCAGAATACAAGGAATCTATTACTGGTGAGTTAAATGTTATTAACTATTTATAACCTTGTTCACCATTAGTGCGATATTGACTGACCGGATTATAGTACCATTTACGTCTCAACTTACTGCCGTTGCATATTAAGGAACGATATAAATGTACTTCCATTTTTTGCAGGTCAAATTTAAATTTACTCTATAACTTCCTCTGCCTACTTCTGATTATACCTCCAAATCTTACAAAGGTTGCACGAATTAACGAGAATGAAGCTGGAAATTCAATTCTACCCATCAAACCAAACCAAAAAAAAAAAAAAAAAAACAGATCTTCGTTCTCGTTTTGTATTCATATCTTCTATTACTGTATCTGTTTTTATTTTTTCTGCTTATATCTGTCTAAAAAAAAAGAAAAAAGAACATTTGTTTTTAGTTCAAAATTTACTTCTTGAGAAATATTATTATTTTGCGATGTATATGTAAACAAGCATACTATCTTATTATTTTTATATTCGATATAATAAAAATAGTAATAATTGAAAAATAGTCATTTGATTTTTGCAATATTATCTATTTTTATCACAAATATTATATTATTACTTAAGAGTTGCATACAATATACAATAAAATTTGCAAAGAATTGATATAAAAATATATATCTTTAACATTATTACTACAGTGTTTAAAATTCAAATTTAAAATCATGTTCTTAAAAGAACTTCATTTAAATTATCATAATGTTCATTATGATATGTATAATTTATTATAGTATATAAATTGATTATATTTACTGTATTATATTGTATATATATATATATATTATAAAGTATGTACATACGTATTAAATTTTTATACGTATAATAATAACAATAAATAGCAATAATATTTACTATATTTGGATCAACCTTAAAAATAAGCTTCAATGTTATAAATTTTACAGTATATTGTATATTAAAATTATTGAGTTCAAATATTTTAAAAAGAATAAAATATTCTCAAATACAGTAAGAGACTTTTTAAACAAACATGTTTTTGCGAACTTCCTTCATTTTTCTGCTTCCATACTATTATTTTAAATATCAATATTCTTAAAAAATTGAATGTTCTATGAAAACATGAGAATACTGAATTTTAAACACTGGTTATACATATCTACAATATTTATAAATAATACTAATTTTAAAAAAATCTTATTATATAAATTAAAAAATTTATATATACATAGTAAAAATAAAAAATTTATAAAATACAGGTCATTGATCATAAATTATACTATTTATGTTTTTTTTAAAACTTCTTTAATTCGTATAGTGCAATATAATATAAGTATGGATGACGTATGCATCGTGCAAAATAACAAGCATGAATGACGAAATAAAAAGAAAGTATAACATAAATGGTGTAATACTCATGATCAATAGGGCCGTGCTATAACTAATTATATATTTTAAAAATACTGTAATATATACAGTATATTTCAATTAATATTTTATCCCGATGATTGTTATTCAATTGT